GGTCTTTATGGGGCTGGAGGAGGAAGATGGTACAGGCCTCTCTCCCATCACTGGGAGGTAGAAGGGTGTGGGAGGAATGAAGTTAATCTGATTTGGTGTGAAGGTTGTTACCAGACTGTTGAGATGATTAAGTGATGCACCATGCTTGAAAAGCACTTACCTGTGCCTGGTGTATCATATCCCCCAGAGAATATTAGCAATGTGTTATTGTAATAATTCCAACAACTTCGTATTCTTCATATGCACTTCCTAAACTTCGGCTGTTTTTTTTTTTTTTAACCTCATGACTTACCCAGAATTAGCTGAAGGCAGAATTCTAAATGATTCTTAACTGGTGAGGCAGCCAGAGAACACCCTGAGTGCCACAGGGCACAGCCTTCTCCCTTTACCACGCATGGTGAGAAATCTTTGTCACGGACTGAAGAAAGGAGCTCTTGTGTAAGATGTTTCATTTACTCTTCTGGGCTGCTTTTTCTGACATTCTGGTACTTGTCTTTCTCAAGTGGTTTGTTTCCCTGAGTCACCCTCCTGAGACAGGGGGCCGTGGCACCGTCTGTGCTCTCCGTACTCACACAGGCAGCCTGGTGGAGTCCTGGAGAGAGGATATTCAGCACTCTACCTTTGAGACTGTATAGCTACTGCAGGCCCTTCTGGGGCACATTTTTTCCCCAAGGTAGAGGGCCCTGATCTTGTTGATCCCAAAAGATATTGGGAAAGAGCACTCAGTGAGGATTCCAGGGTGTTGGGCTCCAGCACCAGCTGTGTGTCATTTATGTGGCCTTAGTTTCTTCATGGCAACATTGGGAGAATTCTGGCTAGGATGAGAGCATGGGTATGGAAGGGCTTGTGAACTAAGTGTAAGGATGGCTGTGTCAATGCTGTTACTATCCTTACTAACCTGGGGTCATGGGAATTGGTAATTGGTAAGAGCACAGACCCATGGTGGTGACCCTGAGGGGCCCCTTAGATCGGAGTCTCCCAAAAGGATTGCCATCTGCCATTGTATGTTGAAGTCCATCTTTGGTCTACTCATCCATCCATCCATCCATCCATCCATCCATCCATCCAGTGGTTATTTACTGAGATCTTATTATATGCCAGGCAGTATTCTAGGCAGTGGGTGAATAAAAAGTAAAAAATTCCAGCCTTCATTGACCTTATGTTCTAGTGGGGGGAGACTGGAAATAAACAAGAGAAGTAAATAAAATGTGAAGTACCTTTGCACCAACACACTTGATTCTGGGGGACCCGATGGTTGGCACCCTGAAGCAGGTGTCCTCCTCGCTCATACACACTGTGTCTATCGTGCTCCCCACTCTACACATTGAGCACTGCGAGGGCAGAGATTGATTTGGGTTTGCCGTATTTCTCTGGTACCTAGTTTAGTGACAAACACCTGGAAGGCACACAATGTGGTGAGCAAACCATAGTCAACCACACAAAGCAGGTAGAATTGAAAAAGTCCCATGGTCACCAGTTACCTGAGTGACCCACAGTTAGCTTATATATACTATATGAATAAATGACATGTATCTTTAAATGCCTTTCACCTAACAATACCATCTTGATGATCATTTCCTTTTAGAGCCTCCTTGTTTTTTGTAAACAGCTCTATTCCATTGTATGGCTGTACCATGGTTTATTAAAGCAGTTTCCTGGTCATGCTTACGTCATTGCTTGCAATCTTTTGTGTTGGTGAACGTGTGATGAGCAGAGTGAACACGTTCACCTGTCATCTGCACACTTGCAAGTTCTACAGGATAACTCCTAGAAGTGGGATTGCTGATTCAGGGAATGCCATTCGGTATTGAGTTGTAAAGTGAGGGCAGAAAATGAGGCCAAAGAATGGTCTAATGACCATGTGGAGTGGACAAGTCACCAGTCCCCATGAGCGTTCTGCTCAAAGGCCTTATAGCATCTGATACCACTTTTTTTGTTTCTGCACCAGGCTGGAGAATCCATGTTCAACCGTGCGAAGCTCCTCAACGTTGGCTTTAAAGAGGCCTTGAAGGACTATGGCTACAACTGCTTTGTGTTTAGTGACGTGGACCTCATTCCAATGAACGACCATAACACCTACAGGTGTTTTTCACAGCCACGGCACATTTCTGTAGCAATGGATAAGTTTGGATTTAGGTAAGAGATGTTCACCGGAATCTGCAGAAAACATATTTGTCTCTTATGTGACAACTAGGGAACACAATTCCTCCAGCCCAGGAGGAGTGCCTCTTAGGCTCTGGAGGAGAATGCCTCCTCTGAGAACTGGGTGCTTTTTAAGCCCATAGTCAGTTATTATTTAAGGAGGAAAATGGAGTCCAGAAACACCCATTCCTCTGCACATCAGTGTTGAAGCCAGTATATCTCTGGAAGAATGAAAGCTAGACTGGAGATGGTCTGGGGGTGGAAAGCGGGGGTTGGCAGGGTGAGCACAGGAGACTCTAAAGCAGTTTCAGTTTCTAGGACCTTCTGGACAAGGATTTCCTGTGCAGGAGCAAGCAAGACACATGGGAAGCAGGTTCCTGAGTGGTGCAACAGAACTGGGCTTATGTTCTTGTCACAGACTGATTTTCTAGATAACCACAGGGGCAACACAATGTTCTTAGAAAGAGCAAGATTCTACTTTCTGGTATCTGTGTCTTCTCTAAGATAATCTTGAGTCTGATCTGAAAACAATACAAACAAGAAGAACCCGCATAAATCCCTAATTTAAAAGTTCCAGAGAATAAAAATAACTTCAGAAGTGTTTATATTTTGAGCAAGCTTTATTTCAAAAAGTCAAAACTTACTAACCACTGGTCGTGTGTGTGTGTGTGTGTGTGTGTGTGTGTGTGTGTGTTTTGGTTTTTGTTTTTTTCCCCCAGCCTACCTTATGTGCAGTATTTTGGAGGTGTCTCTGCTCTAAGTAAACAACAGTTTCTCACCATCAATGGATTTCCTAATAACTACTGGGGCTGGGGAGGTGAAGATGATGACATTTTTAACAGGTAATGGTCACGAATTAGATCTCTTTCTTCCGTGTCTCCCTTCACTTCTGGTCTTTCTACCAGTGCTTGGTTATTCTGCAAGGATTGACCCTCAGGAGGAATGCAGTTCCCACCCAGCCCAAATTCTTAGGAGTGCCCTGCTGTAGGTGCTGTAGGTGATAAAGAGTGTCTTTAGGTGGGACTTCCCTGGTGGCGCAGTGGTTGAGAGTCCGCCTGCCGATGGAGGGGACGTGGGTTCGTGCCCCGGTCCGGGAGGATCCCACATGCCACGGAGCGGCTGGGCCCGTGAGCCATGGCCGCTGAGCCTGCGTGTCTGGAGCCTGTGCTTCTCGACGGGAGAGGCCACAACAGTGAGAGGCCCGCGTACCGCAAAAAAAAAAAAAAAAAAAAAATCCGCCCGCAAATTCAAGGATTCACTTTGTTGTAAAGCAGAAACTAACACACCATTGTAATGCAATTATACCCCAATAAAGATGTTAAAAAAAAAAAAAAAAAAAATCCGCCTGCCAATGCAAGGAACACGGGTTCAAGCCTTGGTTCGGGAAGATCCAACATGCCGCAGAGCAACTAAGCCCATGCGCCACAACTATTGAGCCTGCGCTCTAGAGCCTGCGAGCCACAACTACTGAAGCCTGCATGCCTAGAGCCCATGCTCCACAACAAGAGAAGCCACCGCAATGAGAAGCCTGCGCACCGCAACGAAGAGTAGCCCCCGCTCTCCGCAATTAGAGAAGGCCCACGCCCAGCAATGAAAACCCAACGCAGCCAAAATAAATTGAAAAAGTGTCTTTAGGAAAAGTAACTTCTGTGATTTTTGCATTACCCTTTTGGAAAATGTAAAATAAGAACGATGTGAAGGGGTGAGTTTACTTTGACTCATGCTATGTAGCTGTCCACACCCTGGGCCTCTTTGTAAGCTGGTAAACCTTTATCATGTGAGTTGTCATCACAGATGGTACAAAACCATTTGTCCGTGGCATTTGAAACCACATTCTGCTCACTTCTTCCTGGCAATGGAATTTCCAACCCTGCTGGCTGCAGGCAGAAAGCACCTTCTCCCTCTGGGAGCCAGTCTGAACTTGTCACTGAGTTTGATATCAGAATACACCCTAGTGCCTTTCTGAATTGGAGTACGTTAATTGGATAATTAACGGAAGGTGTCTGTCAGAGCAGCACCCAAAGTCATTTAAGGTTAGCTTCGTGTGGAAACTTGACATCAACCCAAGTCTTTAATACAGGCCTTGAAGAAAACGTTTTAGAGTGTCCAGATTTGTTATCAGTATGCAGAGCACTGGGCCAGGAAGGCCCAGTGAGGAGGAGGACACTGAAGCCCTGAGCAGGGAGTCCAGACAGAAACAAACCTGCTTTCACAGCACCACACCTGGGCAGCTGGGCCCGTATGATGGTGTACAGGGCTGCTGTGAGGCACAGACCTGAGCGATCAGAAAGGCTGGCAGGAGCAAGCCCCGAGGACGGACTTCCGAGGGTAGAGGGACTAGAAGATGAGTGGTCTGTGGGGGAGCTTTCTTCTCTTCCTTTTTCAATTTTTTTTATTTTTTAAGTTGAGGTATAGTTGATGTACAGTGTATATGTTTCAGGTGTACCATAGTGATTCACAATTTTTTTTTTCGGTACGTGGGCCTCTCACTGTTGTGGCCTCTCCCGTTGCGGAGCACAGGCTCTGGACGCGCAGGCTCAGTGGCCATGGCTCACGGGCCCAGCCGCTCCGCGGCATGTGGGATCCTCCCGGACTGAGGCACGAACCCGTGTCCCCTGCATCGGCAGGCAGACTCTCGACCACTGCGCCACCAGGGAAGCCCCTGATTCACAATTTTTAAAGGTTAAACTCCATGTATAGTTCGTATAAAATATTGGCTATATTCCCTGTGCTGTACAGTATATCCTTGTAGCTTATTTATTTCATAGATAGTAGTTTCTACCTCTTAATCCCCTACCTCTATCTTGCTCCTCCCCCTGGAGCAGCTTTCCTGAAAGATAAGGAACCTAACTCCTACTGTGTACCGACTGGCTGTGTGCCAGGCACTAGTTCAGCACTGAGGGAGGCCAGGCTGGAAACCTTGAAGTCATCTAGGACCGGCCATTCCTGCCTCTTAGCTTACTTTTGTTTTCCTGCTGTCAAGGCTTTGGTTTTGGTCCTCATTCCTTTCTCCCCCAGAACCCTCGCAGAATCTTGCACCCCATTCTGGCTGCCTCTAGTCTTGTTCCCAGCTCTCCATTTTGATACTGCTTATCAGAGAGACTTCCCTTTGGCCCAAAACCTTTGGGAAACACTGTATACAGTCACCTCTCCATATCTGCGGATTCCACATCCACAGATTCAACCAAACTTCAATCGAAAATATTTGGGAGAAAAGATTCCAGAAAGTTCTAAAAAGCAAAACTTGAATTTGTTGTGCACGGGCAACTATTCGCATAACATTTACATTGTATTTACAACTAGCTACATATCATTTACATAGTATTAGGTTTTATTTTTAATTAATTAATTAATTAATTTTTGTCTGCGTTGGGTCTTCGTTGCCGCACGCCAGCTTTCTCTAGTTGCAGCGAGCAGGGGCTACTCTTGGTTGTGGTGCGCGGGCTTCTCATTGCGGTGGCTTCTCTTGTTGTGGAGCACGGGCTCTAGGTGCACAGACTTCAGTAGTTGTGGCATGTGGGCTCAGTAGTTGTGGCTCACGGGCTCTAGGGCACAGGCTCAGTAGTTGTGGCGCACGGGCTTAGTTGCTCCGTGACATGTGGGATCTTCCCGGCTCAGGGCTCGAACCCGTGTCCCCTGCATTGCCAGGCAGATTCTTAACCACTGCGCCACCAGATAAGTCCCTGTGTTAGGTATTATAAGTAATCTAGAGGTGATTTAAAGTATATGGGAGCTATACCCCAATAAAAATTAAATAAATAAATAAGGCTTAAAGAAAAGTATATGGGAGGATGAGGATGTGCATAGGTTATAAGCAAATGCTACACCATTTTATATAAGGAACTTGAGCGTCCACTGTGGGGGGGGGTGTTGTCCTGGAACCAGTCCCCTGCAGATACCGAGGGATGACTGTGTTATATCCCTGTCCGACACTGGCACTGTTCTTGGGGATGCTAAAAGCTCTAAGAAGGCCTCCATGATGTAGTCTTTGCCCTTCTTTCCGGCTTCATCTCTGGCCACTTCCTACCCCAGACCCAGTCTGGGGACCCAGTTCACCAGTCCCCAGAAGCTTGTGGTACTCCCTGAGGGCACTGTGCTTGCTCTCGCCTCCCTGCCTTTGCCTGTGCTGTCCTGACTGCCCGAAATGCTCTGGCAAGCACCCACTCATCTTCAAGATTTGGCTCTGCCTAGCCTTGTTCAGGTAGAGTTGGTTACTTCTCCCTCTGTTGCGCGCATCCCCACCCTTCCCTCGTTCTCTCCGTACTGGCACTGATGGCCCTGTGTTCTAAGCACACCCACATTATAAAGTCCATGAGGACAGACACCCCCAGTGCTTGGCACAGGGTGGTCACCAACACGATCTAGAAGCAGTGGTAAAATGTTATGGGAAAGGCGTGTGAGTTTTAAGCAATGCCTGTACACTGGGCTGGGGTGTGGGCTGGGTGAGAACAGCTGACAGGATGGTGGACAGGACAAGAGTCTTGCAGCTGCGACTGTGGGACCCGAGCCTTATGGAAGCTCTGTAATGACGACCTGTCTCTTTACGCCTTACAGGTTAGCTTTTAAAGGCATGTCTGTATCTCGCCCAAATGCTGTGATCGGCAAGTGTCGGATGATCCGCCACTCAAGAGACAAGAAAAATGAACCTAATCCTCAGAGGTGTGTTCTGTGTTTTATTCTCTCCCCTGTGTATGTTTCCGTCTTTCCCCTTTCAGGTGGGGCAGGCTGTAGGAATGAAGCTCTGGAATGGGCTTCATGCCTTGAGGGTTCAATCCACGGGACAGGATTGGAGTAGGAGTGGGAAGGAGGGCCCAAAAAGTACAAATGTTTAAAGTTTTTTTTTTTTTTAAGATTTTTGTTTTGGCTTCAACCCTTTGCCCGTTTGTTCCTTGTAGGTTCGACCGAATTGCACACACAAAGGAGACAATGCTCTCTGACGGTTTGAACACACTCACCTACCTGGTGTTGGACGTGCAGAGATACCCGTTGTATACCAAAATCACAGTGGACATCGGGACACCGAGCTAGCATTCTGGTGCACTGATAAGAGACCTGAAAATGGCCAGGGACCTCTGCTGTGTGTCTCTGCCGATCTGCTGGGCTGGTCCCTCTCATTCTTACCAATCAGAGTGATAGACCCTCTCGGCTCATCATTCAGACACCTTTCCAGACGACCAGGACGAGTGGGATATTTTGCCCCCAACTTGGCTCGGCATGTGACTTCTTAGCCCCACGAGGTGTATGTAAGCATAGCAACTGTCAGCCTTTGGGGGGTTCTCAACATGTTCACAGTGTCACCCCAAAGAATCAGAGCTATACACAGCCCCAAATTTGGTGACTGTGGGGCTCATTCCCTGCGAAAAACTGCTAATTTGTTGTGATATAGGTAAGAATTTTGCTTTAAATTGTGGTATTATTACTTTATGAAAAATTGGAGAGTGCTGCTGAAATTGGATTGGTGTGATGTTTTTTCGGTGTCACATTATAACAGAAAAACACATGATTTCAACCATTCTCATTTTACCCCCTTCTCCCCACCCTCTTTCCGTGGTATGCAACTATTACAATCACTGTGTGTGTGTGTGTGTGTCTTTCCTTAGCAAAAGAATTCTAAAACTTGAGCCTTGGACCTTTCACCCTGCTAACGTGTAAATTCCAAGGCGACTTTAGCCACCAGAGCAAAAGCCTTGGGTGTTCTCACATTCAGTGGCCTTTCTCCAGATTGTCTGATTTCTGAATGTAAATCCTTTTTTTAAATAATAGTTTGTAGTATTTTAAAGAAAGAACAAATCAGGTTCTAATTACGAGCTAGCTTGATTTTGTGTTGATCCAGAATTGCATAGTGTTTAGTCATGGCAATTTATTTTCCTGAGCATGCTATATAAACTTGAATTTCCCATGTATTTTTATTTTGGTGTTTTAAATGTGGGGAGGGGACTGAGCATTTTTTAAGGGAAAAAATGATGTATGCCATAGTGGCCACACATGGGCCTCTGATGTAGCTGGCAGGCCAGGTTTTCTGAAGAGCAGAGTCATCTTTGGGCCCCTTGATGAGAGCTAGGCCTCCACATCAGCACTACTGAGCTGGACTCCTGGGGGAGACAGAAGCCTCGGCCTGCCTGGCTGACCTCTCCACCTCCCTCCCCTCCCCCCGTGGGCAGGGCTGAGGGAACCCTCACCTCCTCAGACTGACCCCAAGACCTCCCGCTAGGGCCCTAGGCTGTGGAGCTGTAAATAACAGCCGTGAGGTTGTTCACTGGCCCTTAGCCAAGGCGGGAGGAGGAAGCCTCCCTCTGGCCCCTGGGTGCCGCCTTCTGGGCTCTGATGGCCACGCTGCCTGGCCCACCTTGCAGGACCGGTTCTCCTTCCTCTTCCTCCTTCCTCCCTTCTGCTGCCTCTCTCTTCCCTCCCTCCCCCTTTTTGTTCCTTTGCCTCTTGCCTGTTCCCTAAAACTGGCCTGTGGCGCTCAGGGTCAAACATTCATTCTCCAGCGTGAATGTGCCTTTTCATTAGAGATCTAGAAAGAAGTTCAGCTGAACCCACCCACAGTCCCCCACGACCACTCTGGTGCCTAAAAGCCTCCCATTCCCCCTCAGGTTTTTAGCAGGTGCTCCCACTTCTGGGAGGCTGACCCACAGCGGTGTCTTCCCCAAGCCCACCTCTGCTGCCAGAGGTTTTAGCCTGCCTGGGTTGAGATGCACAAGGCAGTTCCTGCCACTGGGTGCCCTTGCTGGGTCCAGCCTGGGCTGAGGGCTTAAAATTCAGCTTTCTAACCCCAGAGTGGACCTTACAGCTGGTGGCAGCCTGGAAACCAGCCCTCAGTGTAGAGGCTGAGCTGATGCCTGGCCCCAGTCTGAACCTGTGCCTTTATCACTTACAGCATCTCAGATGCTAATGTGGTTCTTTTTCCAGAAGCCTTTGTACTGGTTACAAATTATTTTCCACTGCAGAAGCAGCTGGGCTATGCAAAGAGTATTCCTTCTGTCAGTTCCCCACTCCTTAACAGTGATGTTGATAAAGCCAGGAATGTACTGACAGGGAGTTTTGGGAAGTGCAAAGAATGAAGGCCTCTTTTTCTATCCCCAGATCCTGACTTTTCCAAAGTGCCTTAGAAGAGAGGAGACAAGTATCCTGGGTGGTAACCTCTTTGTTACTTACTTTACTCTTAAAACAAAATTCTGACTTTTTTTTTCTTTTTTGTTTTCCTATTGCGTTTTCTTTCATGTTCCATTGTCATAGTCAAGTATGTGGTTCATTCTCAGGACCAAGGGGAATCCTGCTGCACCTCTTCCCCATTTGCTGATCTCCCGATGTGCTAATGGGGTCCCAAGATTAGGCCTGGACCTTGCCTGGTTCATGAGATGCTGCAGGTCCTGTTTCCTCACTGGGGAGTTCAGGGCTGAGGGTTCAGGGACCATTTCCTTCACCTGGAAGTTGTCACCATGAAGTTGTCATGTGCTGTGACTTTCTCTATTTCTGTCCATTCTGTTGCTTGTGACCCTGTAAAGTGGCCTTTGGGAAAGATCGGAGGGCAGAGGTGGCATAAGAGGGTAAAGGAAATGCTGGTGCTGACTCAGCCTGGGCAGGGTCTCTGCTGACCTGAGGGCTGGATGTGGGGCACCCCACACGGCTGGGAGGGGAGCGTCCCTGTCCTAGAGACCTGTTGTGCTGTGTATTTCGATTTCCCGTGTATGCAAATGTATGTATTTACCATTGTAAGTGGTGGAATGTCTGACCTTGGTGTTCAAAACAGAACTGTATTTTTGCCTTTAAAAGCCAGTAATATAACGTGAATAAATGACCCTATCTTTGTAACGGCAGGTGGTTTCTCTTCTGATGTAAGGGGTTTGGGTTCTCCCAGAGCTGGAGGGCAGTGACTGGGGCTGCCTGCTGGGAGGAGGTGAGGAAAGCAGAGGTCTGCCTCCTGTGCCTGCCTCATGTGGGAGGCTGGGGGATTGGGTGGGGGGAGGAGGTGGCGCCTTACCTGGCCACGCTCCACAGCCCTGCCTGGGATCACACAGGGTGCACGCACCTCACTGGGATCAACCGTTTCCCCATCTGAGCCTCATATTCACATCTGTAAAATGGGAGTAATAACACATAGAGACTTTTTGAGGCTTAAAAGGGATGATGTGTCTGAAACACAATGACTGACACCTCACAGGTACTCACTATGCAGCAGCTGGTGCCACTTCAGAGTAGAAGTTTCCCTAGCAGTTCTTCGGCCACATTCTGCTGTTTTCCACCAATGCCAGCATGGTTCTGAGATAGTTCTCAGAGCGATTTACACAAGGTGTTCACAAGGTAGCTTAGATAAATAAGCTTTCTTGTCAACCCCAGGAAATTTAACCAGACGCTCTCAAGGGTCTTAGCTGTGACCCAAGGACTTGAGACAATAAGTACCCTGGGCACCACCTGCTCCTCCTCTGCAGCGCCCCTGGGGTCAGGCATCAGCAGCCTCTGACATGCTGCTTCAATTGAATTGGCATCTGGAAGAAATGGGCCGGAGGAAACCAGTGTTCAGGAGAGGTCACTCCCCCCGTCCAGGCTGAGGGGGCTGCAGGCCCTGCTGGGATGGAGCTGTGCTTGTGGGACCGGTTGGCAAACAGAGCAGGAAGGGCAGCCCCTTGTAGCCCCACCAGGGCCATCTGGCTGTCTCCACCCATCCCTGTGACTGCTGGAAGGAGCCCTAGTGGCCTCAATCTTGAGCAGAGGTGGCTGGTACTTAGATCTGACTTTCCAGCCAGGAGACTCCTTTGGACAAAGTGCTGCCTTACAGGCCTTTCCAAGCTGTAAGGTCCGGGTTAAGTGGGGCACCCTTCCCTCCCCAAAGATGCACATATCCACGCAGATACATATATGCTGACATGTGCCTAGGAGAGGCCAGAATGCTTGGGTTCAAATCCTATTGCTCCTTCTTCCTAGTTCCACGACCTTGAGTGAGTGATTTAGCCTCTCCGTGCCTCCCTTTGTTCATCTGTGTAATGGGGATAACAGTACTTCTTTCATAGGATTGTCAAGTGAATTAATCTTATAAAGCACTCAGACTGGCTCATAATAAGCAGCATACATGTTACAAATATTTGTTAAAGTTTTTAAAGTGCAGGTGAACACACGTGCTGAGATATACATAGAGACTGCTGTGCACACATTACCCACATATACACATGCACACACCAGGTGTGCTGGGGATCTTTTTTCCTCTTCTAAGGCACGTGTCTATGGCAGTTGGGTGAGTGGATCTCAGGGCAAGTGACCGCTCCTCTTCTGGAGACACCCAGGACCTCACCAGTGCTGCTTCCTCACCCCTTCCTGTCTCCCTGAGCGAAGGTGTTTGGACTGGCGGCCTTGGTGATGGAGGGGGGCTTGAACCCCGCCTTGGTGGGCTCCAAGGTGCCAGGGAGGAAGGGGGCCAGGGCCAGGCTCTTGGGGTTGCCATTTCCTTGAGAAGTGCCCTTAGTCTCCCACTTCACCTGAGAACCAAACCAAGTCTGAGCCAGGCAGAGCCCAGTAGCCGTGGGTGTGGATTTGGTGGACCCCAGACCCTCCCCCCCACCCCCCGCCCAGTATAGTATCTCTTTTCCATGGGAGAATGTGACCTGGATGCCTAATCACTAATGTCCTTTGGAAGCAGGGCTGTGGTGCCCAGGCGGGTGGGTGCCCATGCAGGTATTGATATATGAGTGAAACCTCCCCAGGCAGGAGCGTTCGCTGCTGGTGACAGAGGGAAGCTGTGTGTGGGAAGGATGGGGCGGTTGAGGAAATGAGAAGGTGACTGAGTTCTAGGCTGCCGAGTGTCCACCGCACTCCCAGGCGCACTCTCCTCCTGTTTCTTCCAGGAGGTGGGAGTTCGGACATTCCTAGAGGCCAATTTCTTCTTAGAACTGGAACTTCTTCCCCCATCAGAAAGGAAATGAGGTTTGCCTGGCTGAGCCGGTTGTGCCAGACAAGCCTCATTTCCTTCTCTGGCACAGTCCCCGGGCAGGGAACGTGGCTGCTGCCTTCATTTGGGCTCCAGGACCTGTACCCAGGCTGGGAGGCAGAGGAACCGGCGGTGTATGGATGTCATGCGAAGTGATAGGGTCAATGGACCAGAAACCAGAGGACCGTGGCATTGCCAAGATAGCTGCCCTTGCGCAAGTTGTATGCCAGGTCACTAGGGAGGGGGCCTGGGAAGAGGGCCAGGAAGAAGCCATACAAACTATGGTCATTATGTCTGGCCCTCTGCTTTCCCATTTGCTGTGTCACTCTGGGCAAGTCCACTCCCCTCTCTGAGCCTCAGTTTGCTCTTCTGTTTTATGAATCCACCTCTGGTCTCTCCCGCCAGAAGGAAGTGCCGTGGTCTTGGGTTTCCCCTT